AATACATTTTAAGTAGTCTGTCGCGCTTTAAGTTTCATCAGGTCGAAGTGCCTAACTTAGTTAGGGCTGACGTGTGGAAGCATTCCAGTAAAATCACTGACTGGAGTCCCATACCAATTGTTCGGGCAGTCTTGGTTTCTTGATAAATTTCACTAATTATTTTCCGACAATTTCAGCATATAAATTGAGTACTATTATGAGCTGGTGATAACTTAACGCATTTCAAATATTCAATGTTTATGATTGTTTCAAACTTCATTTCTAGGCGGATCTAATAATACTGAACGGGTCAACAGCGTTAGATACCGAAAATGCCGGAACAGTTTCCGAACCAGAAACTGTCGGACAGGAAATTTCCGATCTCGAGCCAACCAAAGTGGTCATGCTGCCTGGCGAATATATTCAACCACGGTAAATTTGCCGCAATCAAAAATTGCTCCTCTCCGTGTTCAGCTTTCTGAAGTAGTTGAAGAGTAGTTCAAACAAATGCTAAAAGCGACCACCCGCTGGCAAGGTTGGCAATTATACAGTCGTTCGAAGGGAAGCACAGAAGCAAGCTCATGATCCCATGGCATATTTGACTTTCTGACATGCCAATACCTGTTTTCCATCAAAGTGAGGAACTGGCTATCCCACTGGTGGAGTCGAACCCTCGATATTCAAAAGTATGGCAACATTGTTCCATTGCACCAGATTTACAGGCTGCAAATCTTCAAAGCTTGAAATTTATAGTTTTTCCAGTGTCCTTACAGAAGTTTGCCTGAGGCAAATTTTTGTCAAAACAGTGGAGAACTGTCTATCTATAAGATGCAAAAGATTCATGATTTTCAAGGACTTCATTACATATTTAAACCGCAAACGCTTCCAGAATTGTTTCAGTTATCTTCCACAGAACGCCTGCTGGCAGCTTCTAACTAGCGATCAGCTCAAAGGGACTATCTTTGAAACGATGGATCTTAATCCTATGCTTAGTGTAAGCTACTGATTTCATTCATCATAAAAAAAACTGATAAGGACTGGCTTATCATTCTACCAACAGTCAGTTAGGGAAAGAGGGGGAAGGATGTTACCGTACTTTGCGAACGGGATGCTTTCTTTTTGTTTAAAAAATTTCTATATTGTATCAAAATAAGTACTTTTCGTACGGTCTTCAAAAGGCGGCACAAATACATTGGACAAGCAGTGCGCATTGATTCAAGGTATGCAGCCTAAGGTCGAACAGCTTGGCGTAGCAGCCTCCGGCTTTTGGAACATCCCAGTAGCGCCACTTATTTGATCTTCAAATTTGTTATTGGGATGTATGATCTTTGCCGCTGATTTTTTTGTATTTTCAATAATTTGTTATCAGTTTCCGCTTAAATAAGGGTCTGTCTGCTGGCATACATAATAAGGGTCTGCCTGCTGACATGTTCTAAACATTACTTGTAGTGCGTATCCCGAGAAATCAGAATTTTAAAAAACTTCCCTCCTTTTTGAGTTCCAAGGAATTTGCAGGAACATCTCGCTTTCCTTCACTGCATCATGTTTTTTTTTTGCTTCCAGATTCTAAACGACGCTTATCGTATTAATTTTTGGGAAAAGCATCCGTGTA